CTCCAAGGTTGGGGACGCCCCCTCCTCCAGACTCCTGGGGGAATGCAATAAGGCTCGGACATTCCTCTAGGCTGCCTGAGAGATTTAATTAAGGAGGAAGGGACAGCTTGCACTGGGAAGGGGCTGGGGCAGCGCTGGGGCCCCTGTTGGCCCTGAGCCTCGCTGGGCAGCAGGGAGAGCCTTGGGCAGAGCAGGGTGGCCAGGCCCGTCAGTCCCACCTGCCAACTGACCAGCTCACAGATGCCACAAAGAGCCCTTTCTGCCCCAGGGTGGCCGGAAACTCTGGAGACTGGCAGGACTCTGCATGGTGAGGGCAATACTCTGGGGCCACTGCCTTCTCAGACCCCTGGGCCCAGGAGGCTTGGGGCTGGCAGCCTCCCTTGGTGACTCAGGTGTTGTTCTAGCAAGTTCAGGGTTAACTATAGGGTGAAAGCCTTACTCAATGGGTGCCTGGCCCGGGGCAGGGACAGCCTGCTGGCATTACGCCTGCCGCGTGCCAACAGTGGCGTCTGGACTGGCCCACTTCTAGTTGGGTGGCAGCCACCACATAGCTGCCGGGGCCACAGGTGTCCTCCAGCAGGTGGCACCTCCTGATTGTGACGGCATGTCCTGCCACCCCAAGGGTGCACTTGGGCTGGAGCCTGGCCTTAGTCACTGGTGTCCCTGCCCTGGGCTGACAGGTCTAGCAGCTGCCAGGTCACCCACTGAAGGTGCTCACCTGGGGCTGGGCCAGCTTTGGGGTGTGTGTGTGTGTGTGTGTGTGTGTGTGACAACTCCCACCTGTCTCCCAGCTGGTCCCCACGTGCTTCAGATCCGGGACCCCCTCCCTGGACAGGGAGACCACCTGACACCCTGACAGTCCCCCTGCAACCTCTGCCCTGGGTTCCTAGCCCTGGCTGTGTGGCGGATTCACCCAAAGAACTTGTCCAAAACCCGGCCTTGGCTCGCCCCTGAAACTCTCATTTGACTGGTACGGGGTAGGGCTCGGGTATCAGGGGTTTTTTTTTACTAGCTTCTTGGGTGTTTGTGATGTACAGCGGGGACTGAGAAACTGCTAGGATTACGATGGGAGATGGAAGCTTACAGGGGAGGGGTGGGTGTCTGACTACAGTCTTACCAGTGTGGACAGAGTTGAAACCATAGCACTCCTTAGCTTAGGCTACAGCCCCCACCTGGACAGAGGGCCCACCAGAGCAGCCTCTGAAAAACCTGAGGTTGATGCCCTTCCGCTTCTGAGAAGGCCCAGGGTAAAGACCTCTGACCCCTCTGCCCTTCTGGGGCAGGGGCTGCTGTCACAAGGAAGGGAGACGGGCGGACCCAGCCCGGGCCCTGAGCCTCCTTGGACACGTCAGCGAAACCCAAGCCAGCCGTCTTGGCCCCGGCACAGCCCCGCCTGCCTGGGGGGGGGGGGGG